TGTACTCAGACATCTGGACAATAACAATACTTACATAAGAATGCTGTTCGTGGACTTCAGCTCAGCATTTAACATGGTCATCCACTCTAAATTAACCATCAAACTTGGAGACCTGGGCATCAGCACCTCCCTTTGGAACTGGATTCCGGACTTTCTGACCAACAGGCCTCAGCATGTTGAGTCAGACAACACCTGCTCCTTCACCATCATCCTCAACACCGGCATACCACAGGGTTGTGTGCTGGGCCCATTCCTCTACACCCTTTTCACCCATGACTGCAGGCCTGTGCATGGCTCCAACACCATCATCAAGTTTGCAGATGACATCATGATGATTGGCTTCATCAGCGACAACAATGAGTCATCCTACAGGGAGGAGGTACAGCACCTGGCTGTATGGTGCACTGATAATAACCTTCTCCTTAACACCAACAAGAGGTCAACAAGGAGCTCATTGTGGACTACAGGAGGGAGAAAGAAGGCACACACAATCCCATCCACATTAACGGGATGGTTGCTGAACGTGTCCTGATCCACATTAACGGGATGGTTGCTGAACGTGTCGTGAGCTTCAAATTCCCGGGGACCCACATTTCAGAAGATCTGTCTTGGACCACCAACGCCTGCAGCCTGGTTAAGAATGCTCACCAGCGCCTCTTCTTCCTTAAGACACTGAAGAAGAACCACCTGTCTTCAGCCATCCTGGTGAACTTCAACCACTGTGCCATTGAGAACCTCCTGACCAACTGTATCAGTCTGGTATGGAAACTGCTCTGTCTCTGACTGTAAGGCGTTGCAGCGGGTGGTTAAAACTGCCCAACGCATCACAGGAACTCCACTTCCAGCCATTGAGGGTGTCCACAGGGAACGCTGTCTCTGACATGCTCACAGCATTCTCAAGGACTCCCCTCACCCTGCTCACAAACAGTTTGACCTCCTGCCCTCTGGGAGACACTTCAGGAGCCTCCAGACCAAGACCAGTAGACTTAGGAACTGCTTCTTCCCCATAGCTGTCTCCTTACTGAACTCTGTCCCCCCGTTGACCCCCACTGCCTTCTTCTATAACACTACACACCCTTCTTAGTGATGGCCAAACGAGGCTCCATGAAGCTTTGAACCCTTTTGGACCTTTGTATTGAACATTGGTTCACTACTCAAAATTGCATTCATTGAGCACGTAGGTGACATCTGCTGGTGCAGTGGCTGTTGTACAGCCTTGCAAAGGTGACACTGACACACCTTACGTGTGCAGTGAGTTTTGTTGTATTGTGAAAATGACAAATAATGCTGAAATCTAACTTCATTTTACATATGTCTGTCGTTGTTCTTCCTTGCCTTATGAAAGTATCTTAAATGAAATTTTAACTACCTAAGTAATCTTTCCCCGTTTTCCCCCCCCCCAAGAATTCCTAAGAATTTGAAATGTATTTATAATTATTCATCCCAAATTACACACTGGAAAGAGCAAATATTTACAGGGTTCAATGACGCTGTGGATGTAATTAATGTCATTATAATATAATGTGTTTTTTGATTGTGCTTGGTGTACACTGGGTGCGCTTGTGTGACTTCGGTATTTTTATTCAAAAATAATAGTTTCTCCACAGTAGATGTTTTCGCCGATTTCTCTTTTTTTGAGACAATGTCCCCAGCTTTGGAGAAGACCCTTTCACACAGTACAGAAAATGCTGGTGTCACTTGGAACTGGTTGGCCAGGTTGAACAAGTATGGCTATAAGGATTTGTGCATCATCCAGTAACCTAAGAGGCCTTGTGATCTGTCCAGAGGAGGAGCAGACAGATATTGCTGAACCTCCACAATGGCATTGGAGGGGACTGTAAACTTGGATATCCTTTGTATGAATAACAGACTTGACAATAAGGCTTGAATCTTGGAAATCTAATTTACCTCATTTGGTGGCACCAATTCAAAATGTTCCCACACTTGTGATCATTTCCTTGATGGCTCCATATCGAGGAAATCCAAAAAGTATTGACAGGAAGTAAGACACAGAGCGTTGTTTCATCCAAGGCACTGAATATCCCCCGGAGTTCAGTTAAATCCATCATCAAGAAATGGCAGGAATATGGCACATACCTAAATCTACCTAGATCAGACTGTTCTCACAAACTGAGTGACTGTGCAAGAAGGAGACTAGTGAGAGAGGCCACCAAGACACCTATGAATACTCTGAAGGAGTTACAAGCATCAGCAGCTGAGATGGGAGAGACTCTGCATACAACAACTGTTGCCCGGGTTCTTCACCAGTCAAAGCTTTATGGGAGAGTGGCAAAGAGAAAGCCACTGTTGAAGAAAACTCTTTTTGAATCTTCACAAGAGTTCACCAAAAGGCATGTGGGAGACTCCATGGTCAAGTGGAAGAAAGTTCTTTGGTCTAATGAGACCAAAATGGTACCTTTTGGCCATCAGACAAGACAATATGTTTGGCGGACACCAAACACTGGACATCACCACAAACACACCATTCCCACAGTGAAGCACAGTGGTGGCAGCATCATGTTGTGGGGATGTTTCTCGGCAGCCGGCCCTGGAAGGCTTGTAAAGGTAGAGGTTAATATGAATGTGGCAAAATGTAAGAAAATCCTGGAGGACAATCTTATTCAGTCTGCAAGGGAACTACGGCTTGGGAGAAGATTTATTTTCCAGCAAGACAATGACCGAAGACATACAGTGAAAGCTACACTGGAAGTGGTTTAAAAACAACAAGGTGAGTGTTCTGGAGTGGCCGAGTCAAAGCCCAGACCTCAATCCAATATAGAATTTGTGGCTGGACTTGAAAAGGGCTGTTCACGCGCAATCCCCGCACAACCTGGCAGAGGTTGAGCAGTTTTTGCAAAGAAGAATGGAGTAAAATTGCAGTGTCCAGATGTGCAAGCCTGACTGAGACCTATCCACACAGACTCAGTGTTGTGATTGCAGCCAAAGGTGCATCTACTAAATACTAACTTGAAGGGGGTGAATATCTCTGCATTCACTTATTTCCCATTACATATTTTTATTTAATTGACATTATGTTGTAGAAATCTGGTTTCACTTTGCCATTAAAAAGGTTTTTTTGTAATTTTTGTGTCAAAAAAGCCAAATTATATTGACCACGATTGATTTATAAAATCAATAATAGGGTAAAACATCCAAGGGGGGGAATACTTGTTATAGGCAATGTATCTCCTATAAATCTGAGCAACAGACACAGAACAACATTAGAATTCATTTAGAGCCAGTTCTCAACAACCCCCTGAGAAAAATATCTGCTCTTATGTTTACTAGTGAGCAGGTAAATTTAGCTGCATTTCCACCAGAAAGTCCCCGGTACTTTTTATTCCCAGGAATGAAAGCCCAAGAACTGTTCCTGGGGTAAAAGACCCTCAAGCGCATTGGAGATCCAACGCCCAGGGAAGAGTAAACTAATTAGCCTGCTGATGTAAAAGCATGACAGCCAGCAGTGGGGTTGTAAGAATGCCGCATGGTAAAGGCTCGCTATGGATAACACATACCAGTGGTGGAGGACAGACTGCAGACAAAACTAATCATTTTCTACAAGTTTAAGCTTGTTTAACAGGTGCATTTTTTCTTACTCGCCAAGCTTTTATTGCACGTACAGTAACATGCACAGGGATTGTTAACTCTGACTAATGTTTCACTTCAGCCGATGTCATGCTCTCCTCTACCTGCTGTACTCTGTGTGTGGAGGATCCATGCTCCACCCTCAGGTCCAACACCAGTAGAAGCTGCTCCATAAATACCAAAACCATGTTTTCCAGTCCACTAATCTCACTCACTGGTCTCTTCATGTAGGCCTAATGATAAAATGCTCCTTGCAATCTGAGAACCCAAGGAACTAGTGGTCAGTTGCATCAGTGTGCCCTAATCATTTTTCACATTGGCACACTGTGATTACTTGCATATGTGAGTGAAATGACATGCCACAGGGTCCTGTATTTAACAAATCAGTGTCGTTCCACACCGCAGCCCCCCACTATTTCTTGGACATTCAGAAAGTACTAACCCTGGACTAGTTCAGGTTCAGGTTGTGGCACCTTGGCAGCTGCAACATGGCTGGTTCATTCCCCTGAACAAAGATCTGTTACAAATAATGAACTTAGAGTTTACTGTGCAAGATAAAATAAAAGCAGTATAACTGATAGATTTGCTGCAGGACGGAATTTTTATTTTTGGGTTAGGCTGGGGGGTTGTGTGTGTGTGTGTGTGTGTGTGTGTGTGTGTTGGGGGGGACGACTACTGCCCCCAAGCCAACAACCTTCACACACAG